CAAAACGGGGAAATACTCTTCCCTCTGCGAAACGGTATTTGTCGACTACACTATATACTACTTCTTCACAAGTGAAAATAACATGTTATCCTCACAAGTGAAAACACCGTTGCTGTGGTTACATAATAAATCGCGCTTTTCGCAGTGAAAGTTAAATGGTGTTGAAAAGTATTTGACTCGTTCGCTGCGCTCATTCGTGAAATATTTTTCAACATTCGAAGAGAAATTTCGTATCTCCGCGCGGTCATGTACTATCCTCTATTTTTGCCTCCAACATTGGTTTGAGATCAATTTGCCAAGTTTGATAGTTTAACCTTTTAGATATTAAAGTTTATTGGTTTCCAACGTGTCTTCCTTTGAGACCTTATGTACATCACAAAGGAGATCGAACGGCCTAATTGCAGACAACAAAGTTGAGTTTTCGAGAGAAACAAAGAGAAACCTAGCGCTCATTAAAACCTGTCAACAAGATGTCAAAAACTAACAGAAAATTCTGACGAGCCGGCAACTTTACTCGGTGATCCTCATTATGAAGTCAACTTCTTGACTGATGTTTGGAGAACAGGTGTATGATTAAAAGAAAAACAGGCCGTTAAAAATTATGAAAATTACGAAGAATAGTTATTTCATACAAAAACTGTTTACGTCGGCTTTCCCTGATAAAAATAAGACTGTTAGCAGTCAATGTTGTTTCGCAATGGAAATAGATCATGAGAGCCGAAAATCAGTCTGTTACTTGCTATTTTCCTCTGGTTCAGTGTTCAACTTAACAAACATTTAGTACCAGTTGGAAAGGTGTAGTATTTAGCCGCTTTGATCAGCAGTTAAGGGCTTCCAAAACCTAAAGTCCTGAAGGATTCAGATAGGTGTGCTGGAATCTCAGATATCAGTTAAATTTTCTAGCATTTCTCGTGAGCTATAAGTCCACATTTCGGCCCATTTCTCAGCTGTTAGTAATTNAAGAAGAAAAGGTTATACTCACTCAACATAAAGATTACTAAGAGAGTCCTCGTCCTCATTTTAAAGTTCCATATTTGGTCTTGAATTAAGCACCTCTCAGCATCGTGAAAAACGAAAGGAATACATGTAAGAAAGAGATTCCTCGACGGATGAATTGGAAGCAACTGCATGAACTGCTGCTACCTAAGCTCTTGCTTGCCTTCAAATATGCATAATATAATGAATTAAATTTTGTCTTGTGAAACAAGTATTATCTCGAAGTGAATAATCTGAATAAACATGAAAGACGATATAATATGATCTATTTTTAGTAACTTCTAGTATTTCGAAGAAATATCAAATCCAAACCATTTTACTTACAGTACCTATTACCCCAACAAAGAGAAGCTCATTTATCATTCTTGTACTTTTGTAATTGTAGTCACAAAAAAAAAAATTTCCAGGATTGAGAAGCTCGACAGACTAGAAAGCTTGTTGTTGATAACTGAACGTTTAGTGCCCAATATAGCTTTTCCGTACAATACAGCGAAATGTAATCTTGCTAACCAGCATTCACTGCGCATGTCAGAACGTATGTCTTCTCGACTAAAATCTCAAAGTAGGAAAAACTAGGCATCGACATATTGTTATCAACGAAAATCGGTTTTCTTTATGAAAAGGAGTTTATCTTAGCTGTGAACAAGTTGTTCTTATTTATGTTCTTTATTGATAACTTGTTTCATACACAACCTGTATTTAGTTGGTCCACAACAACTTTCCAGCTTGTATAGGCCCGGCTAAGCTTACGTTGCAAGACTAAACATTACATTGTATTATATTGTAACACCCTAATACCCTAATACCCTAATGCCTTAATACGCTAATGCCCTAAAACCGTAATACCCTAATACCGTAATACCCTTACACCCTAATACTCTTATACCTTAATACCCTAATACCCTTATACGGTAATACCCTTATACCCTTGTACCCTAATACCCTAATACCTTAATGCGCTAATACCCTTATCCCCTGATACCTTAATACCCTAATACTCTAATATCGTAATGTCCTAATACCCTAATACCCTAATACACTTATACTCTAATACCCTATTGCTCTGATACCCTAATACCTTAATGCCCTAATACCCAAATACCCTAATACCCTAATACCCTAATACCCTATTGCCCTAATACCCCAATACCCTAATGCCCTAATACCCTAATACACTAATACCCTAATACCCTATTACCCTAATACCTTAATACCCTAATGCCCTAATACCCTAATACCCTATTGCCCTAATACCGTAATACCCTAATGCCCTAATGCCCTAATACCCTAACACGCTCATACCCTAATACACTAACTTACATTTTATTACATTACCACTAAGTTTAATACATAATGTTTCATTACAGTTAGGTAATGAACCTAAATTTACGTAGCAAAACTCTTCCACAAACTTGGTACTTTAGTTAACTGTTTCACTAACAGAACATAACTTACAATATAGTTTTACCTACCATACCCTATTACCACTACATTATTTAAAAGGAATTTGTTTGACAGCAAAAAAAAAAAATATGACTCCTACCCACTAGAGATAAGTTGTTGATTATAATTTATTTAGCAAAATAGACCTTAGGAGCCTGGTGACAGTTGAACATTAAAGGGCATGACAGGTATCAGACAAAAATATTGAGCAATAGTCAAAAGACTATCCTGTGACCGAAATTACAATAGCAGCGTAGGTTGAGCAATAGTCGTGACCTCTTACGGAAAAGTACTTAGCTTCGACAACACATAAAGAGAGGATTAAGAGAGGATATCGTTACTTACTCTTCCTCTCATTCTTAGGACATTGACACGCTCTGCAAGTTCAATCCACTTCCTCCCCTCTCTCCACCTAAAATTGATGTATTGCATATATTTTTGGGGACTACCTTTTTTTCCTTGTGCCCTCACCTTTGCTAGAGCTTAATAGTTAATAGATTAGTTATTCATTTGCTTCTTTTTATGATCGGTCTTTAATAATAAAAGCGGCCATTAAACATGGCCAAATTTTACTCTAAAACGTAGATGGTCTCTCTTTTTTATGATGCTCTGAGCAAATGAAGCTCGTCTGTTGGCAAAAAACTGAAACACAGAAACACCAAGGAAAGGAGACATAAATAGCCTATAAAACTGTAAAAACAACTGAAGTAAAATGAAAATAATGCAGAAAACACAGTAATCAAAAGTATTACTAGCAAGAAATAGTAGAAAAAGACTGACGGTTATTAAAACCACATTTGGATCAATCAGACTTTATGAAAATAATTAGAGATTACATATAAGTGGTAATAACTACCAACAAAAAAAACGCCTTTTTCTACACAAGAGATTCTTGTCTTAGTCAGCATTGTTATATGTCTTTCCGGTTGCTGCAGACGGGGGGTTGAGAGAATTCTCGAAAGTTATGCATAAACTGTCTCGAAATCTCCCAACTCCCCTCGTGTTTAGATGAGGCTATCTATACACGGTAAGAGTACTCTATCGCTTAAATCTAACATGATAATAAGTCAAGTCGATGTTATTATTATAAAAGCAAGTCGATTAAGACAATGCTTCCCTGAAGTTATAGTTTGCTTTGTGTGACGGATTCATTCGTGGTCTCGTCGCGAATTTGGGATTCGTCATCGTCACCTGGTATTCCGGTCATTGAGATATTTCCGTTGCTTCCTTCTTGGTGTTTCTCTTGGGAGCTCTCAGGTACAAATGCCGAGTAGTCCACAACACTTGACCCTCCCAGTTGATGCTCTGTCTTACTAAATCTTCCATCGTGGCTACTTCTGGTCCCTCTTTCCTTTCCTGTAATGTCTGTCTCTTCTGGCGCGACTTCCACTTTCTTCCAGAAACAGAGAATTCTTGCGAATTTTTTCCTGTAATTACGGTTGGTAGCTCCGTAAATCCAAGGATTTACACAAGAATTGAACATGGCTAAAACAACTGTGGCGTGATGGAGAGGTGTATCCAGTTGCGTGATGTTGAACTTTGACAGCACATAAACAAACTGGTTTGGAATCCAGCACAGTGCCAGGA